CAGGCTGGAGTGCAGTGGTGCAATCTTGGCTACTGCAATCTCCGCCTCCTGGGTTCAAGCAATTCTTCTGCCTCAGCCTCGCAAGTAGCTGGGACTACAGGCGCCCGCCACCACTCCCATCTAATTTTTGTATTTTTTAGTAGAAACGGGATTTCACCATGTTGGCCAGGATGTTCTCGATCTCTTGACCTCGTGATCCGTCCACCTTGGCCTCCCAAAGTGCTGGGATTACAGGCGTGAGCCACCGCCCCCGGCCAAATTCAGTGTTTTTAGTGAGAAGGAGAGGAGGGAAGAAGGAAATATGTAAATGTTCAGGAATCCCTTACCGTGGGACAAACCTTTAATTTTGAGCTCTTACATTCTTTAATCCTCACCATCCCCATTTGCGGTAGCAGCTGTTTCGGTTTCGCAGATGCGAAAATTCGTGTTCAACAAAGGAGCCAGGTCTCTGTTCTGCGTTCTTGCAGAGCAGCTTTTGACTGCCTTTGGGCTTGTGTCTGTAGCCTCCCCTCAAAGCGAACCAGCCTTCACTTAACACACTGTCCCCGGTTGCCAGGTCTTTTTGTTCTTTGGTGGATGTGGTTTTCTTTTTTATTAGGAAAACAAATCATGTATTAATGCAGTGAATGCGATCTTCAAGGCATTGCCAACATCAATTAATAGTGTTTTCTTTGGTTTCACATTTGTGATTTTTGCCATTTAAATGGAAGATGGATGTGAGTTTTAAAAATGGATGTAGGAATAAGGGATCTTCTTCAGTCCACGAAAGCACCTAGGACCCCTATGTTCCTTGCATTTTTTTAACCAGTAGATACTCATTATGTACCTACTGCATGCCAGAACTCCGCTGTGGTTTTTAGCCTGCTGTTCTGGTATAGCCTGACCCTGATGCACGTTAATGTCTATTAAAAACTTTATTACAAGCCAATGGAATCGTCGAGGGCTGGAGATTGAATGCACTGGAGGACAGAAACCCCAAGACACCAGGCACTGCATTTTCCACCTCGGGACCTCATTCTGCAGCTGCTGCTGCTGCCAGCACCAAAGGGCTTCTCCCCAGGAGTGTACCCTTGGAGCCTACCCCTCCTCCTTCTGCCTGAAGGAAGGAAGTGAGTTTCCCAACGCTTTCCTCCTGTGTTACTGGTTCTTGAGCCCACATCTCTCTGGATGTGCCTGATTGGGGGGTTGCTGGTGTCCTGCCTGCAAGAGAGGCTGGAAAAGTGAGTGGAGCTGGGGATGGTCCTTTGCCCTCCTGCCCTCCACCCCCACCAGGACTCATAAAGTGGTTGATTCTTCCTGCCTAGAAAGAAGTTCAGATGCTAGGTTGCCAAAAGGAAAGAAAAATGTCATCTGTGACTGGACCAAACATGGACATGGGACTTTCATTCTAGCAGGGAAAGTAAGCAGATCAATAACTACATATATTATTAGGTTAAGCGTTAAGGAGAGACAGAACTATGAGAACCTATAAAATGGAGACTTCGCTGAAGTAGCCTTTAAACCAAGCCCTGAAATCTGAGAAGCTGAGAGCTGCCAGGGGAAAGGGTGGAGAACAACTTCCTGAGAATAGGGAACAGCAAATGCTTTCAAAGTCAAAAAGAATGGGAGTCTTCCTGAAAGTCAGTCAGTGATGACACAGAGCTGGGAGAACTTGGAGAGAATTAGGAAGGGGTTTGGAGGCCACGCTGGCAATTATAGACTTTATTCAGAGGGTTTTGGGAAGCCATTAGAGAGTTTTAAATAGGGGAACCAACAGGCTTGGGATTTTAGATTTGCATTATTTAAAGATCACTGTTTTTTTCTTCTCTGTTTTTTAATTTGAGACACAGTCTTGCTCTGTCACCCAGGCTGGAGTGCAGTGGCGTGATCTTGACTCATTGTCATCTCTGCCTCCCAGGTTGAAGTGGTTCTACTCAGCCTCCCGAGTAGCTGGGATTACAGGCGTGCACCACCATGCCCGGCTAATTTTTGTATTTTTAGCAGAGCTGGGGTATCGCCATTTTGGCCATGCGGGTCTCAAACTCCTGACCTCAGGTGATCTGCCTGCCTCACTTGGCCTCCCAAAGTGCTGGGATTACAGGCATGAGCCACCACACCTGGCCACTCTTTTAGAGAAAAAACTTGAGAAAGAGAAGCATAGGTATGAGATGGCCAGTTAGGAAGAGCTTACAGTGGCTTAGAACTAAATTTGTCGTAGTGGTGGGGAAAAAGAAGATGGATTTGAGAAATATGCAGGAAGTACAGTCACTAAAATGGGATTCATTCGTGACACGTGTGTCGCCCCAAAGTGTCAGGACACAACTAACTTGCTTCGGAATTACAGTTGCATTTTTTGAGGGACAGCATCTGGTGGTCCAGTAGCAGGGTGGGAGTGGTGTGTCAGGCAGCCATGCGGAAGGAACATTGAATGCCCCATTGAATACAAGAGTAGGGAACTCAGAACAGAGACCTGCCTGAGACAGAGACCAGATTTAATCAGCAGCCAGTGGTAAGTGAAGCCACAGAATGGATAACGTGACCTAAGGGGAGAGAGAGAAAGGAAGGTCTAGGAAGAGCCCAGAGAACTCCAACGTTGAAAGATTTGCAGAGGAGAAGCTAAACGGAAGTTGAAAAGGCCAGGCAGCAAGAGGAAAACCAGTCCCTGAGAAGAACCTTTTTCACGAGCTGTGAAGCCTCTTGTTTCAAGATCAATGGAAAAGAGGGACTGCCTGGCATTGACTGATTTCATCAACATGGAAATCATTCATTTTAACAGCTGCCCTTTTGGAAGTTTGCTGGAGATGAAAGTTAGGAGAGGGTGTGCTGAGAGTGTGAAGAGGTAAAACAACAGGAAATGGCAGCCTTTTCTGCAGAATGTGGCCCTGAAGGGCAAGGGCGAGACAGGACAACAAGCAGAGGGAATAGCGGCTTGAGGAAGGATTTTTTTTTTTTAAGGTGGAACAGATTTGAGCATATTTAAATACTACAGGGAAGGCTGTATATTGGGGTCCTCTCAAGAAACAGAGCCAATAGGATGTGTGTGGATAGAGAAATTTATTATAAGGGCTTGGCTCATGTGGTTATGGAGGTTGGCAAGCCCAAAATCTGCAGGGTAGGCTGGCAGGTCGGAGACCCCGGGAAGAGCTGACGGTGCAGTTCCAACTGAAGGCCAACTGCTGCAGATTCCGTCTTGCTCCAGGGACCTCATTCTTTTATTCCAGTGAGGCCTTCAACTCACTGCATGAGGGCCACGCCACCGCTATTATGGAGGACAAGGGGCTTTACCAAAAGTCCACCAATTTAAATGTTAATCACAATCGCATCCAAAAACACTCTCGCGAAAGTGACCAAATGTTGACACTGTGGCCCAGCCAAGCTGACCAATATCACCAAGAGATGTGGTGGATACAAGGGAGGGCCGGAGGGGGAAGGGATTTGTTTCATTTTTGACACAGACACACCAATCCTCCAGAAGCTCCCTCTGTACCCTTCAGTTCCAAGGCCCTGATGGCTCCATAAGGAACAACGAACAGTGACCTGTTTCAGTGCCATCTAAACCAACAAAGATGGATTGTAACATGATTTTTAAAGCCATATTTGCAGCCACACCCAACACTTGCAGTTATGACCACCCCTGGTTTGTGAGTTTTGAGAACACACTGCCAAGAGAGCTAACTGTTCTTTATAATCAAGGGAGAGGAATTTGAGTGTCAGGTCAGGTTCCTGGGGGACCGGGAAGGAGACAGGGAGAGGAAGGAGGCAGCAGATACGCTCTTTCTGAAAAGGCTCTGGAATGTAAATCCCTCCTCTTTCTTCCAAACAAAATATCCTGTCGCAGAGACAGGGTGGATTATTTAGGGGGGCCCTCAAAGAGAGCTGAATTTCACAAGCAGATCAGACTTGTAACTTGCCGATAGCACATGGGAAAACTATTATTTTTCTCCACTTTTTATTTGCGTGTGTGTGTGTGTGTGTGTGTGTGTGTGAGAAACAGGTTTCACTATCTTTGCCAGGCTGATCTCGAACTTCTGAGCTTAGGCAGTCCTCCTGCCTTGGCCTCCCAAAGTGCGAGGATTACAGGTATGAGCCACTGCACCAGGCCTCATATTTTAAAATTTAATTTACATAAATAAAAACTGTTTTCAGCGGACTGTTCTGCAGATTTTGACAGGTAGGTACAATTACCTAATCACCACCACAATCAAGATACAGAATAGTTCCATGCCTCGAAAATTCTCACATCTTCCTTTTATTTTATTTTTTTATTTTTTAATTGACAATAATGATACATATTCATGGGATACATGGTGATATTTTGAAACATTTAATGTATCGTTATTTTATCAGGGTAATTACCATATCCATCATCTCAAACATCTGTCATTTATGTTTCTTTTGAGACGGAGTCTCACTTTGTTGCCTAGGCTGACTGCAGTGGCGCAATCTCAGCTCACTGCAGCCTCCGCTCCCCAGGTTCAAGTGATTTTCCTGACTCAGCCTTCCAAGTAGCTGGGATTATAGGTGCCTGCCACTGCGTCCAGCTAATTTTTGTATTTTAGTAGAAACGGTTTCACCATCTTGGCCAGGCTAGTCTTGAACTCCTGACCTTGTGATCTACCCACCTCAGCGTCCCAAAGTGCAGGGATTACAGGTGTGAGCCACTGTGCCTGGCCAACATCTCTCATTTCTTTGTGTTGGGAACTTTCAGTATCCTCCTTCTGGCTACTTGAAACTATATGTTACTGTTAACTATAGTCATCCACCATGCTATAGAACACTAGAACTTACCCTTTCATCTAGCTGTAATTCTGCATCCTATCCACCCCCCTTCCCCCACCCTTCCCATCCTCTAATTGTCCTCTGTTCTACTTTCCGTACATCCTCATTTAAAAAAGCAAAAGACTGATTGGAGACCTGAAAGCATCCTTAGTCAGTGGTAGCTTTGGATACTCACAGCAGTTACCTGACAAAATTGTTTAAAAAGGGGCGGGGTAGACAAACAACATATATTTAGTAATGACACCTGCAGTGTGGCATCGTATTTGCACATGCTAGGTGTATGCAGTTGTAAATGCCTTCAGCATTCATTTTACTGGCTGAGGATGGTGACTCATGTCTGTAATCCCAACACGTTAGGAGGCCAAAGCAGGAGGACTGCTTAAGGCCAGGAATTAAAGATCAGCCTGGGCAACTCAGCAAGACTCTGTCTCTACAAGAAAAAAAAAAAAAACCCAGGTGTGGTGGAGTGCACCTGTAGTCCCAGCTACTCTGGAGGTTAAGATGGGAGGATCACTTGAGCCCAGGAGTTAGATGCTGTAGTGAGCTGTGATCGCACCACTGCACTCCAGCCTGAGTGACAGAGCAAGACCCCGTCTCTTAAAAAAAAAATCACTTTACAAGCAATATTTATTGGTTGAAACAGTGGCGTAAGCAGCTCTCTCCAGCGTGCTCTAAGCAAAAGCAAAACAAAAATTTTTTTAATTTTTTTAAGTTGGGGAAAGTCATAGTCACACTCAGAACAGGATAAACATCTTCATGTTTATGAACATAGAACTATGGGTCGAAGTGAATGTGACGGCAGTGGACTTCTGTGCTCCTGTAGGACAGCCAGTGGTGCAGCTGGAAAGTCAGGGCCCTCAGGAGGTGGGTGCAGAGTTAGAGAATGTTGATTCAGCCCTGCCACCTGCCTGGAGCCTCCAGGCCTGGGCGAGCACGTGGGCCACAAACGGTGTGTCTGGCTTCTTCCACGTGACACCGTGGTTGTGAAGCCCACCCACACTGCAACACGCTGTCAGTTCCAACAGGCTATCAGTTCTTCATTTCTTTTTATGGCAGTAGAATGCTCCAGCGTATGGATATACGCTCTCCAGACTTTTTACAATGAAATATTTAAGACACATAAAAAGATCCACGAAATAATAGAATGAATAGCATGGAAGGAGTCCACAGCTTAGGGAGTAAAGCCTATTTGTCAATTACTCTATGCCTGTGGGAAACAGCCTTGAAGTCATGTTGATAATCGAGTTTCAGGAGGGAGCAGAAGTAGTTGGATGGGTTTGAGCTGCCCTCTTCACTCATAAGTCCTTGTTTGACCTTGTCAAACTCTAGGGATGTAGAACCGTGCCAAAAGTAACACTAAGTAAAAATCAAATAAGCTCAAACTTAGAAGCTCAGATTTGGGTTGCCGCCCACCTCTGCTTTCTCTTCTGGTTTGTATTTCATTCACTACCGTACTTCTTTCTGTAAATAACATAGAGCCCCTACTATCGCCAGGCCTGTTCTAGGTGCGGAAGATAGAGCAGCAAACAAACCAGACTAGAGCTCTATACTGGTGGAACTCACGTTCAAGTTCAGGAGACAGTAAAACAAGATACATATAAAAAATAAGCCATTTTATATTATCTGCATGTTAAGGATCCTCGCAGATCCGCAGGCAGATGGGGAGCAGGTATATCACAGACACGTGTTAGAAACGTGGGGACCCACCCTGGAACAAGTGAATTGACATCTGTGTTGTAGCAAGGTTCCCCAGGTGATTCACAAACGCATTCAGGTACTATGGAAAAAAAAAAAAAAGTGAAGGAGCTGAGGAGGGAGTGTAAATTGCAGGGGCTGGGGGTGCTGTGATTTTAAAACCAGTTGCCAGGGAACAGGGAAGGCCTGGTTTGGAAGGAGGCCCTGGCATAAGAGCTAAAGGGGGTTGGGGAGCGAAGCTCTGCAGGTATCCGGGAGAAGCCACCGCGGCAAATGCGAAGACCCTCGGGCCTCGAGGCAAGGGCCTGCCGTCCTGAGAGGCAGAGGCAGCGTGGTCGCAGGTGCAGCCGACTCATTTTTACTTCGCCTGCGGTGGTGTTTGGGGTGTGTCCTGCGGCGCCGTCCCTGAGCGCTGGAACGCGCAGCCCTGTAGGGCAGCGAAGCCCCGGAATGCACAGACCTGCGCGCTCCCAGCGCCGTTGGTCTGCGGTTCCTGCCATTTTGGCTCCCAAGGCTTTTCTACCTTGGACTTTCTTTAAAAAATGCAAATTCCCCTTTTATGGGCCAGGAGTGTAACAGAAGGCTCAGGTCCAAGGACCTAGTCCTTTCTGTCGGCTCCCGCAGTCGAAACATCTTTCCCTTAAACTCTGCCAGCACTCGAGCCGTGTGCTTGCACCATGGACCCTGCACAGAGGAGTCGAGGCCAGTGCAGTGCACCCAGGCCGGGGCAGACGGAGAACGCCCACGTGCTCACCCTACCCTCGGCCTTGCAGGGGAGGACGCTTCTAGTGTGACCCTGGCGAGTCACTGCGTCTCCCCACGCGCGCTACTCCCTCTGCGAAAATGGGGAATATCAGCTGCCCGGCTGGGTGGTTCTGACCCGAGTGGGGCCACTTTTAGGGAAGCTGCTTTGGCCAGAAAGCGCTGCCGGCCTCGGCTAAACCACGGCTGTGCGGATCACCCTCGCTCCGCGCCCTGATCTTCGTGTTGCTTCTGCACCCAGACTTGTGAGGTTGCTGCGCTCCGGGGTCTGGATTCCGCGCCCGCAGCGGCCCCCGCACGGTGACCACAGACCTGGGACTCGGCCGAGCGTCTCCGGCCACAGGATTCCCCGGGGAAGCGGCCACGAGCGGAGGAGAGGAGCGATTGGCTGGGAGGGAGGTGGGACAAGCGGTTACGCTGGCGCCGGGAGACTGCAGGGCGGGGACGCGGGGGCGGGCGGAGAGGGGAGGACATTGAGGCGGCTGCGGAGGAGCGGGAGGACCGAGCGGAGCGGGAGCGGGGGAGGAGAGGAGGGAGGGGCGGAGTGGCGAGGAAGAGGGAACTGGGACGGGGTGACCCGAATGGGGAGGCGGGGCCGAGGGGACCCGGGCGGGGTGGAGAGGGGGCGGGTGGGGAAAGGGGGGGGGGGGTTGGAGGGAAGAGGAAAGGGGCAGAGGAGCCCGCTGGGGAGGGGAGAGGAAGGAAATTAGGGTGGAGTGAGCGAAGAGGAGACGAGGGACTGGGCGTGCAGAGTAAAAGGAGCTGGGCGGGGAGGAAGCGAAGAGGGAGAAGCGGAGTGGGGAGATCAGGAGGGGGGAGGGCGAGGCGCCTCCCCGCAGCCGGGCACTGGCCTGGGGTCCTCCCCTCCCCCGGGGGCCAACGTCCCTGGGGCGTGATTAGCAGCTCCTAGGGGAAAAGGGCGGGGCCTGAGCTCGGGGCGCGGGGGTCCGGGTGGGGCGGCGACCCGCGGCGCTGCGCGAGACCGCGGCTCTGGCGCGAGGCCCTGAGTTTGCCCAGGGGGGCTCTGGTCACACCGCGTTTCTGGGCCTTTAGGTTCCTCCTCGTCTCTGCTCTCCGCCGACGCCCTGCCCTCCCTCCGCGCGTCAGAGCCGGGTCCCGGGCGCCCAGTGCTGGGGGGGACGGGGTGGGCACAGTCGGGGACGCCCCAGCGAGGACCTACTGGGTGTGATCCTGGGCGCACGAGATATGGAGCTGCAGTGACGAGACGGTCACCCGAAGGACCCTGGAGAGGGGCAGCTGTAGGGGGTCCTGGGAGAGGGTCTGACCGCGGGCCACCTGAGCGTCAGCGGGGGGGACGCGTGGGCCTGGAAAGATGGGGGAGATCTGACTGGTGGAGACATGAGTGCCCCAGAAAGGGAGGCCGAGGTGGTGGAAGCAAGGGCGCAGCTTGCTGGGCTCCAGGACCTGAGGGGTGGGAGGGAGCTTGAAGGCCTCAGGCCAGGCCAGCGGGCAGCACCCACTGCAGCCTACCAGCGGAAGGTGCGAGGCCACCCCTGCCCTCACCTATGGGTGACTTGTTGAGGTGACCTTTCTGAGCCTTGGCTTGTCCACATCTGCTAGTGGGGCAGTATCGGAGGGTGGTGAACATGTATAACATGTGGGAAGCTGTGTAGTGCCCTTCCCAGCCTGGCTGCTTCATGAACCTAGTCCCTTTCCCTCCTGGAAGAAGGAAGTCAACCCAGAGCCTTCTCACTGCTGGGCACCTTCCTAGCACAGGTAAGAACCACGTAGAATAAAACAGAAGACGCATGTCAGAGTCCAACAGAACAGGTGCCTGGCCTAGCTGGCCTCGGTTTGGGGCATGAATAAGAACCCCCTTACAAATTGCATCTGCATCAAGACTTAAGGCCTCAACTTGCTGATTCTTTGCTAGGGATTTTTATCACAATGGAAATAATATACTGCCATTGATTGCATCTGAATGAAGAGACACACACAAAGATGCACGTTTCATGGGAGTGTCTCTCTCACAAGCAGAGAGAACTCTTCTCGGCCAGAATTCCTTGACTTTCGAGTCTGTGTGTGATTTAGGACTACAGATTTTTTTTTTTTTTTTTTTTTTTGAGACGGAGTTTCGCTCTTGTTGCCCAAGCTAGAGTGCAATGGCGAGATCCCGGCTCTCTGCAACCTATAAAACATAATAGGGTCAGAGAGGCGGGATCCACAGCAGAGCTGTGGGCAAAACTGCTGGCACCAGGCAGGTCCCTCCTCCAAGATACAGCATAGAGGGTGACGTGCCTGAAGGCACACAGGCTCTGGGTTAGGCTTTGTGGGATTCTGACCTCACTGAGTCATTATTGAGAATGCCCTGGTATGTTAGATCATGACTCAGTTTCTCCATAGGAAAACTGGGAGCAAAGTTACTGGCTGTTTAACTTCCCTGAGGGTAGGTGCAGTTTTAAAATAGCTTCTTCAAGTTGAGGCAGTTGGTTGGTGGGTGTCACTATCATTTCTGTGGGATGGAGGAGGTGTGGCCTCCAGGTGAGATCAGTGCCATGGAATGGCTGAAGTGACATGGAAAGGCCAGGAGGCAGCCTGACAGGAAGGGTGGCATCCTCCAAAGGGAGTGAAGACAGAAACTGGAGGGGTGTGGCCGACCCTTCGTAGAGAGACTTCATGACACTGGCATTCCCCGGGGTAGTGTGTGGCTCTGTGCAAGCCCCAGACATTGGCCAGGGCAGGTGAAGCCGCCCTCGATGCCATATGTGGAACTGGATTTAATTGGTGGGATAATCATTGCTGAGCCACAGTGTCACCACAAATGCAAACAAGCGTGCACCTTCTTTCCTGGTGAGTGCAATAGTCAGCCAAGCCCTTGTGGAGCAGCCCAGCCTTGTTTCCTAACTGGGTGGGCCCTGCTTTGATGACAGGTGCATTCCTAGAGGTACTGTCTTCCTGCAGAGCTTTACGTAATGCAATGGGAGAACGCGTAATGCAATGGGAGAAGAACGCTTTGATGGCGTGGGCGCTTAAGGTCCTTGAAACCCCAGCGAACTCTCAGGGCAGCCTGGAGTGAATGCAGTGGCTCGGGAGCCCCTTCCTCATCTGTTTGGGCTGGCGTATTTGCCACCCTTGGAACCTCTGTCAGCATTCCCTCTGTCTGTCTCCTCAGCAAGCTCATTTATGTCCTTATACCTACACTCAGGGACCTAAAAATAATCTCTCTCATCTCAGCCAATCTTTCTCATCCTCAAGATGTCGTTCAAGCCACACCTCCATCTTCCATCTACCCCAGTAGCTCCAGGATTTTTCTCTGAGCTCATAGCATTCAGAGTCATTTAACACACATACTGATCTTGAGTTGCCTGCCATTTTTAGATTATGAGTCTTTTTTTTCTTTTTTTTAGGTGGGGGTGGGGTGAGGTTCTGTTGACCATGCTAGAGTGCAATGGCATAAACATATCTAACTGCAGCTTCAAACTCCTGAGTCCAAGTCATCCTCCCCTCTCAGCCCCCGCCCCCCGGTAGCTGAGACGATACCACCATGCCCAGCTAGTTAAAAAAATTTTTTTTTTTTTTTTTTTTTTTTGAGACGGAGTTTCGCTCTTGTTACCCAGGCTGGAGTGCAATGGCGCGATCTCGGCTCACCGCAACCTCCACCTCCTGGGTTCAGGCAATTCTCCTGCCTCAGCCTCCTGAGTAGCTGGGATTACAGGCATGCGCCACCATGCCCAGCTAATTTTTTGTAGTTTTTAGTAGAGACGGGGTTTCACCGTGTTGACCAGGATGGTCTCGATCTCTTGACCTCGTGATCCACCCGCCTCGGCCTCCCAAAGTGCTGGGATTACAGGCTTGAGCCACCGCGCCCGGCCTAAAAAAATTTTTTTTTTAGAGATGGGGTCTCACTATGTTGCCCAGGCTGGTCGCAAACTTTCGGCTTCAAGTCATCCTCCCGCCTTGACCTCACAAAGCGCTGAGATTACAGATATGAGCCACCGAGCTCAGTGGTTTTTGAGTCTTAACTTTTCTTCTGGAACCTAGGTTTCCTGATGGCGGATGTGCTATGAGATATATTGTTTACTGCCGAATCCAAAACCATGTGGAAGATATTTCAGCATCCTGTTCAATACCTAGAGACTGTTACTTCCGGCAATAATCCATGAAGAGCTGTGTTTAGATGTGTAATGAAAACACATGTGATAGCCAGGCATGGCAGCTCATACCTGTAATTCCAACACTTTGGGAGGCCAAGAGGAGAGGATAGTTTGAGGCCAGGAGTTTGAGACCACCTAGGGTAACAAAGCAAGATCCTGTATCTACAAAACATTTTTTTACATTAGCCAAGTAAGGTGGCGTGCGCGTGTAGCTTGACTACTGGGGAGGCTGAGATAGGAGGATCGCTTGAGCCCAGCAGTTGGAGGCTGCAGTGAGCCGTGATTGCACCAGTGCACTCCTGCTAGGTGACAGAGGGAGCCCCTAACTCAAAACAAAACCAGACACGGGGAAAAACCTCCACACACGTCAGGATTTTCTCTGTACTCTCAACTACTCTCGGTACTTCACTTCTGACACCAGCTGTGTGAATTTTTTCCCCGTGTTGACCAATTTTCCAACCCCAGCTGGAAGTCCTGAAATTCAATCCAATCCTGACACTACCTGGAGTTGGCACAGCCCCTACCGGTTGAAGTCTGATGGGGCTGCCATTAGACTGCCCCTACTTCAGACGCCAGTCACAAGCCCTCACTGTCACCTGTGCTTCTGATGGGCCAGCTACAAATCAGAGGTTCCCATGACCCCAGCCTCAGATTCTGTCATTTCTGGAATGGCTCACAGAACTCAGATAAACACCTTATTTGGTTTACCTGTTTATTATAAAGGGGACAGCTCAGGAACAGATGAAGGGAAGAGAGCACAGCGCAAGAGACGGGGAAGGGCATGGAGCCCTCACAACCCTCACAGGTCTGCCGCCCTCCCAGCACTTCCATGTGCTCAGCAACTCAGAACTCTCTGCACCCTACCTTTTTGGTGAGGCTTCATGATGCAGGTATGACTGATAAAATCATTGACCATCAGCCTTTCAACTCAGTTTCCAGCCCCTTAGTCTCCTCCCGCCTCCCCAGGGGGTGGGAACTGGGGGGCAGTGCTGAACATTCCCATCCTCTCATCACACGGTTGGTTCCCCTGGCAACCAGCACCACCATCCTCTAAGAGCCCCCCATCAGCAGAATCTCAGGTTGAAAGGGGCTTGTTATGAATCACTTAGGAAATTCCAAGCATCTTACAAGCTCTGTGCCCAGAACAGGGTTGAAGACCAAGTGTGTATCTCTTATTGTAAATCATAATACCGTATCACAAACTGATTAATTGACACTCTTCAGGACCAACAACAACAAAAACTTTCTCTCTCATCCAAATACCTAAGAAACAAAAAGCTGACTCTCAGATGTGACTGAGGGTGCTCAGCCCTTCTCTTTCCTCTGCAGCCTGGCCCCTCTGTCCTTGGCCTGTCTTGTGGGAAGGGACCAACTCTGCCCAGCATACCTTGCAGACACAATGCAGCTATTTCCAGGGTCAACTCTGGAGGAGCTCAGGGAGCTGCAACACCACCCAGTGTCAGGCATTTCTCTCTTCCTGGCTCAGGAAGCCAAGGGAACGATACTCTCCGTTTCAGTGACTAGGGTGGCATGTGAACTTCAGGGCTTTCCCGGGGTGAAAATACAAATCAGCATGTATTGAACTGGACACGGGGTGTGGGGGTAGGGGGGCTCATACCTGCAATCCCAGCACCCCACTCTAGATGCCCCCACGTGAACACCTACCTTTTTAGGCTTCGCAAATGACTTTAGGACTAAGTTGTTCAGGAAGGGAAGAGGAAGAGCAGCATCTGACAGCTAAAGTCTCAGTTTCCTTACTATAATGTCATCATGATTCCTGCATTATATGGTTGCCATGAGAACGATGTGAGATAGTGTACGGAAAGTGCGTCTGCACGTGGTGATCCTGCAGTGTCACTGCCGTCACCATTAGGATAAACCAACACCTGCATTGTCTTCATTTATTTATTTATTTTTAGTAGAGACGAGGTCTTGCTGTGTTGCCCGGGCTAGTCTTGAACTCCTGAGCTCAGGAGATCCTTTCACCTCAGCCCTGCAGAGTGCTGGGTGAGCCACGTGATCAGCCCAACACCTGCATTTGTCATTTGGCAGAAATACATCAGAGACCCCGGGACCAGAGTAACCCAGGAAGAGTGGGCGAGAGTGGTAGATGTATCAAGATGGGAGGCTAGGCTGGGCGCGGTGGCTCGCGCCTGTAATCTCAGCACTTTGGGAGGCTGAGGTGGGTGGATCCTCTGAGGTCAGGAGTTCTGGACCAGCCTGGCCAACATGGTGAAACCCCATCTCTACTAAAAATACAAAAAAAAAAAAAAGCTGGGTGTGAGTGGTACATGCCTGTAATCACAGCTAATAGAGAGGCTGAGGCATGAGAATCGCTTGAATCCAGGAGGCGGGGGTTGCAGTGAGCTGAGATACTTTGGCCTGGGTGACAGGGTAAGACTCTGCCTAAAAAAAAAAAAAAAAAGGAGGCTAATGCCTCTTTAAGAGATGAAGACACTCATCATTATATCAGCTAAGTTAAAATATGTAAGTATAGAGAAGCAACTAGAAGGAAACACTCTAATATGTTAACACTGATTACTTCTTTCAGTGGGATTATGTGACTTTAAAAAAATTCTGTGTTTCTTAAAATTTATGAAATGAATATTTATTATTCAAATTTAGGAAAAAAATTTTGTTTTAGAAGGGCCCTGGTTAAATTTAGTATGACTCATTGAAAGCTACTCCAAGCCTCAGCAGTCAGCGGTGCCTTTTTCTGCTGCCTGTATTGATACCCTGGCTCTGCCTTTTACCAACCAGGGTGATCAGGGACAAGTTAATTAACTTATTTGTGCCTTTGTTTTGTGTTTTATAAAATTGAGGTTTACAGTGCCTAATTCAGGCTAATTTGGCAATTAAATAAGATACTGCTTATCAAGTACCTGGCACACATAAGTACACAAAATTGTTAGCTACGCCGGGTGCAGTGGCTCACACCTGTAATCTCAGCACTTTGGGAGGCCAAGGTGGGTGGGTCATTGGAGGTCAGGAGTTCGGGACCAGACTGGCCGACATGGTGAAACCCTGTCTCTACTAAAAATACAAAAAATTAGCCAGGCGTGGTAGTGCGTGCCTACAGACTCAGCTACTTGGGAGTCTGAGGTAGTAGAGAGGTGGAGGTTCTGGTGAGCTGAGATCGCACCACTGCCCTCCAGCCTGGGCAACAGAGTGAGATGCCATTTCAACAACAACAAAAAAAAGGCCAGGCTCGGTGGCTCACGCCTATAATTTCAGCACTCTGGGAGGCCATGGTGAGCGGATCAGCTGAAGTTGGGAGTTCAAGAACAGCCTGACCAACATGGAGAAAACCAGTCTCTACTAAAAATACAAAAGTTAGCCAGACATATTGGCGCATACCTGTAATCCCAGCTACTCGGGAGGCTGAGGCAGGAGAATCGCTTAAACTGGGGAGGTAGAGGTTGCGGAGGACCTAGGCAATGAGCTGAGATTTCGCCATTGCACTCCAGCCTGGGCAACAAGAGGAAAACTCCGTCTCAAAAAAAAAAAAAGAAAGAAAGAAAGCAATGTTAGTTACAATAGTATTGTTTTTGGATGGGAAGGTCTGGAATGTAGTTAGTGTCCAGACCTTCCTCAGCTTTCCCGGAGGAAGAATTCCTCCTGTCTGAGTGGCCTCAGCTATGCCTCCTACTTGATTGCTATCCTGTCATTCACCCAAAGATTGCAGGCAGCTGGGCCTCCTGTGAGGCAACAATCCGAGGCAAGGGTGACACTCTAGGCAGAGGAAGTGTTTGTTTTCCTAACTTGTTGATTGGGTTCCAAAGAGATCAGTTTCTTAGTTGACTCAGCCTCTTTGCAGTAGGAGACCATGACTGGCATGCACAGGGCAAAAGATACAGCTCTGTGTCTGAGTTCCCATCCAGTATGGGATTTGTCCTTTCATTCACTCCTTCATTTGGTTGTTAAATTCACACATGTGTATTAGATGCCTGCTATATGTCAGGCACTGCTGTAGACGATGAGAGACAATCAATTAAAATGCAATGAATTAAAAATTAATTAATAAGGGACTTGAACAAATATTTGTACACTTATGCTCAGAGCAACGTTATTCATAATACCTAAAAGGCAGAAGCAGCCCAAATGTCCATGGACAAATACATTAATAAACAAAATGTGATCTAGACATACAATGATAGGGTTTAGCCCAACGAAGAAAGGAAATTCTAGCCAGGTTCAGTGCCTCATGCCTGTAATCCCAGAACTTTGGGAGGCCGAGGCAGCGAATCGATTGAGGCCGGGAGTTTGAAACCAGCCTGGTCAACATAGCTAGAACCTGGCTCTACAAAAGGAAAAAAAAAATTAACCAGGCGTGGTAGTGTGCGTCTGTAGTCCCAGCAACTCAGGAGGCTTAAGTGGGAGGATTGCTTGAGCCCAGCATTTCAAGGCTACAGTAAGCCATGATTGCACTCAGGCCTGGGTGACAGAGCAAGACTGTCTCAAAAGTAAATAAATAAATAAAGCAGATAACAATAGATGAAAAGGAGAGGAAATTCTAACACGTGCTACTTAGAACACGGATGAACCTTAAGGACATTATGTTGGGTGAAGTCAGCCAGTCACAAAAAAGACAAATAACGGTGAAATTCCACTTATAGGAAGTGCCTAGAGGAGTCAAACTTGTAAAGACAGAAAGTAGAAAAGGTGGTCAGCAGTAGCAGCGGGGAAGGAGTGAATTATTGCTTAATGTTTACAGAGCTTCGGTTCGGGAAGATGCTAAAAGTTCTGACGATGGATGGGAGTGAGAATTGCACGATAGGATGTATGAGAGACCAGAATATGCTATCCCAAAATATGCCTCTTTGACATAAGGATTATTTTGAGCTGATTATTTTGAGAAACTGCAGACACAGGAGAAATTCTGAAGACGGAGTAGAAGTTACTCTTTGTAAGGGGCATATACATCTACAAAGGAAATCTTTATTGTAAGGGTGTCCCAGAGACAGGTGATTTTAAATCACTAGACTCCCTTCATTGGACAAGGCATGAATTTAAACCTGCATCACAAATGTTACCCTTGTTTACTGTACTTTTCCTGGGCCTCTTCTTTCTTTTTTCTTCCTTTTTGAGATGGAGCCTTGCTCTGTTGTGCAGGCTGGAGTGCAGTGGCACGACGATCTAGGCTCACTGCAACCCCTGCCTCCTGAGATCAAGGGATTCTTTTGCCTCAACCTCCAGGTAGCTGGGACTACAGGTGCATGCCACCATACCTGGCTCATTTTTTTTTTTTTTTTTTCAGTAGAGACAGAGTTTCATTATGTTGACCAGGATGGTCTTGAACTCCTGAGCTCAAGTGATTTGCCTGCTTCAGCCTTCCAACGTGCTGGGATTACAGGCATGAGCCATGGCGCCTGGCCAACATTGTCTTATAATGGGCCTTCCCCATATCCTTCTTTCTTTGTTTCAGTTGAAGATGGTATCTCAGCCTGATTTTTAAGCCATCTCTTTGATATTCATGTTATTAAACTTTTGTCTGCTTTTCTCTTAATAATCTGTCTTTTTTCTCAGGAGTCAGCCTCAACTAAGAAATATTTCTCTCCTCTCCTACAGTTCTTAATGGCACTGAACTGTACACTTAGCCAAGGTTAAAATGATAAAGTTTACGTTATGTATATATTTCTCATCATAATTTTTTAATATGAAAAAAATCACAATAGCTTTAGATAATGGAATCAAGCATAGAAATTGTAGAAATTAAGCTCATGGAAAAATTTACAGAACAAATTTAGCTTTTGCAATTTTTTTTTTGAAACTTCCTTTGAACAGACAATTTACCAAACAAGATACACAGGTAACAAACGAGCACATGAAAAGCTGCTCAGCATCCTTAGTCATGAAACTCTCAGAAGGCGCCAGGACACGCCTCTCACGATGGCTAAAATGAAAAAAGATTGACCTTACCAGCTGAGTACAAGGATGCAGAGCAAATGGGACTCTCATGCATGACTGTTGAGAATGTAAAATGATACAACCACTTTGGAAACTAGTTTGGCACTTTGTTGAAAAGTTAAGCAATACTACCCTATGATCTAGCCATTGCATTCCTAGATATTTACCCAGGAGAAACGGAAGCATGTGTTCCTACTGAGACAAACACAATGTCCATCAACAGGTAGGTGAAAAAAACAAACTGTGCTATGCATACAGCACCATGTCACTCAAAAAAAAAAAAAAACAAAAAAAACAAACTGGCCAGGTGCAGTGGCTCACACCTGTAATCCCAGCACTTTGGGAGGCCAAGGCGGGCAAATCACTTGAGGTCAGGATGTGAGACCAGCCTGGCCAACATGGAGAAACCCCATCTCTACTAAAAATACAAAAATTAGCTGGGTGTGGTGGCAGGCACCTGTAATCCCAGCGACTTGGGAGGCTGAGGCGTGAGAAGTGCTTGAACCCAGGAGGCAGAGGCTGCAGTGAGCTGAGATCGCACCACTGCATTTCGGCCTGGGTGACAGAGTGAAACTCTGTCTTAAAAACAAAACAAAACAAAAACAAAGAAAACTCCAACAAAAACCAGGTAAGCTGTGGTATATGCGTACAGCACCATGCCACTTTCAACGATTAAAAAAATGAACTGTTGCCTCTCTATGGATGAATCTCAAAATAACTATGCTGAATGAAAAAAGACAGGCAAAAAAGAGAATATGCTCTATGATTACATTCAGTGGCAGACCAGTATATGGTGACAGAGGGCCAATCAATGGTTGCCTGTGAAGGAGGGAGGGGAATGAAGGAGGAAGAGATTACCAAAGGACACAAGGACATTTTGGGGGGGTGACAGATAAATTCATTATCTTGATTTTTTTTCATGGGTGTGTGCCTGTGTCACAGTGTGTAAAACTGTACACTTATGTGCAATTTACTGTATGTCAATTATGCATTAATAAATGTGCTAAAACCAAAATGAAAAAAATGTAAATGCACACACAGAAAGTGCAGTTGGGCGGGGCATGGTAGCTCGTGCCTATAATCTCAGCACTGTGGGAGGCTGAGGTGGGAGGATCTCTTGAGTCCAGGAGTTCAGTACCAGACCCATAAGATAGGGAGACATCGTCTCTACTAAAAATTTAAAAAAATTACCCAGGTGTGGTGGTGTGTGGCTGTTGTCCCAGCTATTTGGGAGGCTGAGGCAGGAGGATTGCTTGAGCTTGGGAGGTCAAGGCTTCGGTGAACCATGAGTGTGCCATTGCACTCCAGCCTGGGTGACAGAGCATCACTCTGTCCCCAAAAAAACTTTAGAAAGCTTTAAAAAAAAAAGCTTTAGAAAGCCAATCTGGCTGTGAGGAAGTGAGCTGGAGGAAAAGTAGGACACAGGTAAGGAACTGGAGGGCCTGGGTTAGGAGAAGTGAGGACGTCACTGGTGAGGGAGTGGCTGGAGTCCACAGCTGCACGGATGTGGTCTGTTCCTGTGCCAGCCACTCCCTCCATCTTTTCAAGATCCCGGAGTGTAGGAAATTTGACCCCAGCTTTACAGAGAGGACAGTGACTGGGAGCAGTGAAGTCACTTGCTCAAGGGCACACAGCTGCTGGAGAGCTGGGGCTTCCAGTCCTGCGGGTTCGGAGTCCAAAGCCCATGCTTGTGGGGTCCAGCCCTGCAGGGTCCCGTCAGTCCCTCTCTGCTGGTTTGGAGACGAGGAACTGCAGAAATAAAATACACAAGACACAAAGAAAGAGAAAGCAGAGTTTGGGCCCAGGGGTCCACTGCCAACCAAAGCTCCGAGTCCAGCAGTGGCCCCAAGTGCCTGACATTTATTGAGTACAAAGCAGGGAAGGGCAGGTAGGATGAGGTCATGGTGGTCAGTGACAGGGTCAGGTAAATCACATGTCTTGGAGGTAGGGGGCCCAAGACTTTGAAGAAGCCCAGGGGAGGAGAAAACCTAAGGAGTCAGCACTTTTTCCATACTTGTCAAGAAATAGCAAGGTCACTATGATTTATGTTACTATTACTAATGCTTATCTTCCAAGGAAAAGAGGAACCAGGTGCAGAAGCAGAACTTGAAAGTAGCCACGGAACGTGACCGCTGAAGCGCAGCACCACATGGAGACAATTAAGTCCCCGGATGTCTGTGGGCCTCCCTGACAGCCCTCAGGCCTCCCACAAGAGCTTGGAGAACTGGAGTTTTCTCCTCGATCCTCAGGGTATGAGACGTCTTGGCCATCTTGGATGTCTCCTCCCCTGGCTGGCTAAACAACGGGCGCTTTCTCAGTGCTGACACTGTCGCACAGCCGAGGCGTCCTCCAGCAGTCCTTTTGCGGGCTTCACAGAGGACTCAGAGCATCGTGTCTTAGGGTCACCGCTTTTCCATTGCCACTTCAGTCCCATACTTCTTGACCTGAGACTTACTAGTAAGATTAAAGATTAGATGATTAAATAGATATATTTATGATTACATATGAATAGCTATGTGATTATTTATGATTTTATATATAGGAATATATAACTGTATCTCTAATTCTTTTCTAATTCTATGTTTATCTGAGAACATGCTGAGGCTTCGAACCCTTGCCTCGGCTCTTACGGGGTTTCCCCCCCACCACATGCTCACAAGGACCTCTCTAATGTAGGTAAAAGCCATCGAGGAAGACTCTCCCTTGTCTTGCTCTCTGAAATTGCTCACCCTCATGGCGGCTTGTTGCATGACCGTGTTTCCCTGGGAGGAGGCAGGGTGCCATGGGAATATTAACGTCATCTAGGCAGTCAGGAAGGGAAGGCTTCCTGGAGGAAGGGACATTCCAGCTGAGCTGCAAAGAATGCGCAGGAAGGGGAGGAGCTCGGAAATGAGCAAGTTTAAGGGTGGTTATGAGAAAAGGGAGAATGTGTTCTATGGGGTGGGATGTGACTGCCTGGAAATAAACCAGGGCAGGGCCTGCTTGAAAATCTGAGCTTCGGCATTGCTGGGTGGTGGCGTGAGACGCAGAGAGAGGCATCAGAGGCTGATGTTTGTTCTCTGTGTGGCAGCTTAGAGAACGGAGTGGATGGGAGGGAGGCCAGGTGAGATCCTGCCTGCCAGGCAGCTGCCTATTGTGGTTACCATGGAAACGTTAGACTGCAGACCCAGCAGCCTCTAGTCCAGCCCCTCTTATTAAGGATGACAAGACTAAGAACCAGACAGAGGAAGAGATTTGCTCTTTCTTGCTGGCGGCCTGGAAACCTCCGTCAGAAAATATTGCAGTAAAACACACATGAGATAAAAGTCACTATTTACTTTGCAATCATTTTTATTTCGTAGTATTATTATTTTAGACACAGTCTCTGTCTGCTGCCCAGGCTCAATGTGATCTTGGCTCACTGCAACCTCCGCCTCCCAGGCTCAAGCGATCCTCCGTCCTCAGAATCCCGAGTAGCTGGGACCACAGGCGCACACCACCTTGCCTGGCTAATTTTTGTATTTTTTGTAGAGACAGAGTATCACCATGTTGCCCAGGTAGGTCTCGAACTCCTGGGCTCAAGTGATCCTCCCACCTCAGTCTTCCAAAGGGCTAGAATTACAGGTATGAGCCACTATGCCTGGCTAACCATTTTTAACTGTCTTTGGAAACTCCTCTCATCATTCTAAACTGAAACTCTGTCCCTATTAAATAATTCCCACCTCCCCTCCCCCCAGCTCTAGCAATCGTCAACCATCATTTTTACCTTCTTCTTCCTCCTCCTCTTTTTCTTCTTTTTTCCTCTTCCTCTCCCCCTCCTTCTCCTCCTTCTCCTCTTCTTCCTCTTTGAGAGAGAGAGGAGAATTTGCTGGGTCGCCCAGCCTGGAGTGTAGTGGTGTAATTACAGCTCCCTGCAACCTTGAATACCTCTGGGCTCAAGCAATCCTCCCACCTCGGCCGACCGAGTAGCTAAGACTACAGGTGTGTGTCACCACACATGGCTAATTTTTAAATTTCTGTGTGGAGACAAGGTCTTACTGTGTTGCCCAGGCTGGTCTCAAACTTCTGGCATCAGGTGATCCTCCCACTTTGGTCTCCAAAGTTCTGGGATTACAGATGTGAGCCACCACGACTGGCGTCTACTTTCTGCCTCTGTGAATTTGACTCCTCTAGGGACCTCATGTAAGTACAATCACATGATATTCTTCCTCTTATGTCTGGCTGACTTCACTTAGCATAATATGCTCAAAGTTCACCCATGTTGTGTCATGGGTCAGAATTTCCTCCCTTTTTAAAGGCCAAATATTATCCCATTGGGTGGGTAGACGGTATTCTGTTTATCCATTCGTCTGTTGATGGACCTAGGCTTGCTTTTGCCTTTTGGCTGTTGTGAACAAGGCTTCTAAAAACATGGGTGTATTAGAAACCTTCTTCATAAACATCAATTATTGGTACTTAGTGAAGAAGGCTTTTGTTAAGTTTTAAATACAAGGAAAAGAGAAAAGAGAAGAACGATACATTTCTCCCTGAAAGTAGACCAGAAGCAGCCTTTGTGCCTAAATGCTTTCAGGACTCATCTGAGGCCAGGCTTTCCCTGGGTCTTGCTCTGGATACTGTATGTTTAGACTACACATGCGTCCAGCTCTGGCTCCTGTGGCACATGTTAGGAGAGCAGCTTTCGTCGATGAGGCAGATTTGCCTTGGGATTTGCTTCTCCTGGGGGACTCTCTGGGCTTCTAGGAAAACTGACAAAAGGCCAGCTGGTCTGTTCTACCATTTACAGGAATGTAGGCTCCACGATGGCAGATGTACCTGTCTCTTTTCTTAACCAGTGAGTCGCCAGCACCTAGAACACTGGCTGGTACTCGAAGAAGAATTTGTCAGGCAGGGCGCGGTGGCTCATGCCTGTAATCCCAGCACTTTGGAAGACCTAGGTGGGAGGATCACTTGAGCCCAGGAGTTCAAGATCAGCCTGGTGACATAGTGAGACCCCACCTCTACACAAAATAAAAAATTAGCCAGTGATAGTGGCATGGGCCTGCAGTTCCAGCTACTTGGAAGGCAGAGGTGGAAGGATCGCTTGAGCCCAGGAGCTGAGATTACAGTGACCCTTGGTCATGCCACTGCACTCCAGCCTGGGTGACAGAGCAAGACTTTGTTTAAAAAAAAAAAAAAAGAAGAATTTGTCAAATGAATGAATGACTAACTGGACCCTCCATGGGGTCCAAGACAAATCTCCACAGCCCAGGAAAGGAAGGACTCCATGGAGGGTCCAATTAGTCATTCATTCATTTGACAAATTCTTTTTATTTATTTATTTTTTTGAGACCAAGTTTTGCTCTGTCGCCCGGGCTGGAGTGCAGTGGCGTGATGACAGCTCACTGAGTTACGTGACCCCGCACTTACCCAGGCTCTAATTCCAGCATGACTCTCTGTGTTCTCATCACTCAGCTGGTAGAAATGACACCTGCTTGAGCCAACCTCACCTGTCATGAACAGGAGCATCCAGGGGACCGTGGAAATAAAAGTGCTGTCCCAATGGATGTCATGATTGTCCCTTGCTGTGACCTCTCCTCCCAGCACCAGCCTTGCGTCTACCAGTAACCTCCCACCTTTGAGCACCTCTCAAAACTCAGAACTTCTCTGTCTTCTCTCTCCGTGGCCTCCCCTTTCCTGCCCCAAGTCTGGCTGCTTCTTTCCTTTTATGGCCCTCATTTCCTCGGCCATCACCTCTGGTCAGGAATCCCTCCCCACTGTGTGACCATTGTCAAAACCTTGACCGTCTTCTGCCTCTGGACTTTTCTGCCCCATCTCACCAATGCTGCAAGAGACATCCCCCAAAGTGCAGCTCTGACCTCATGGCCCTAATTTAAACTTAACTGAGGGGTTGGGCGCAGTGGTTCACAACTGTAATCCCACACTTTGCGAGGCCAAAACAGGCAGATCACCAGAGGTCAAGTGTTCGAGATCAGCCTGGCCAACATAGTGAACCCTTGACTGTACTAAAAATACAGTAATACAAGCTGAGCATGGTGGCGCATGCCTGTAATCCCTACTTGGGAGGCTGAGGCAGGAGAATCACTTGAACACTGGAGGTGGAGGCTGCAGTGAGTCAGGATCGTGCCACTGCACTCTAACCTGGGTGACAGAGCAAGACTTAGTCTTTAAAAAAAAATGACTGACGGTGGACCGACTGCACGTAACCTCCTCCCTGGCTTTCCAGGACCTCCCAGCCATGGTCTCTCTGACTGGATTCTGCCCTTTGGCCTCTGCGTCTCCTCCCGCCAGCTGCGGCGCGGCACCTGCCTCTCCTGAGCGTGTGCTGAGCATCTGCCTCCCTGCCTGTGCACACTGTCCTCCTCTGGCTGCAACATCAATTCTCTCTCCTCCCTGCTCTGCTGAGATCCTTCCTATGCTTTAAAACGCAGCTCAAGGGCCGGGCGCAGTGGCTCACACCTATAATCCCAGCACTTTGAGAGGCCGAGGCAGGCGGATCACAAGGTCAACAGATCGAGACCATCCTGGCCAACGTGGTGAAACCCCGTCTCTACTAAAATACAAAAAATTGGCCGGGCTTGATAGTGGGTGCCTGTAGTTCAGCTACTTGGAAAGCTGAGGCAGGAGAATCACTTGAACCTGGGAGGCAGAGGTTGCAGTGAGCAGAGATCACACCACTGCAGTCCAGCCTGGGTGAGAGAGACAGGCTTCGTCTCAAACAAATAAACAATGCAGCTCAAATGCCACACTGTGCTTTTTCTATGCTTAATCCACACTCCTCTCACCATACGCACCACGTCGACTCAGAGTGTTTGCTTGCATTCCTTCCTTGGCTTCCCCACTAGACTGAATTCCTGAGGGTGGAGAGGATGTGTCTTGTTTCCACTGCCAGCACCGTCTGGTCCAATCGGCAAGAAGTGGTTGCTGATTTTGGCAGACTCCTTGCTCTCCTTCCTTCTTTGCCCAGGTCGTGGGTGCTGACCTTATCAAAGGGCAGCCTGGGGTTATTCTTGGCATAACCAGCACATAGCTGGTTATGCACACAGCACGTCGCCCAGTTCCTGGCTTGGAGGGAGAGCGCTCACGTTTGATGGTTACAACAATGGATGGGAACCCATAGCCAGTGGCTTTGATGCCTCTGTGCCTGATGGGAAGCTGAGAAGGAATTGACAGAGCTCTTCTTTCTTTGGGTCACTAGCGTCCCGCAGCTTCAGCGTTTCTTTGTGCTCAAGCAAGCGCAGTTGCCAGGACCACAGAGGAAGGGGATGGAAGAATGGCCTCAGCCGTCTCGGAGGATGGCACTTGTTGCCCCCAGTGCCATCTGCCAAAGACCTTTTCAATTACACCAGACGCATTGGCTCTAGGCAGCCTCAGCTTCCTGTCACCACGGACTCTGTTTAAGGTCTCAGCTGGACTTGGCTGCATTGGAGATTGCAGGGAATATGGCTGGTCCACTTGGGTGGCTTTGCACGTGGCCATCCTGTGCGTATGCCCTTCTGCCAGCCTGGCGGCCTCTCCCTTCATCTGCCTTGTCCTTGAAATGCATCAGCAGGGGGAGCTGGATCTGTCCTAAACCTGACGGAAAACAGACGTCCCCGCACGCAGAGGAGCAAGCTGCCTCGCTGGGTTTTTCTGGAATAGCTCAGATGGCTGTTATTTTATTCATTGGAATGGAGATGAATTGCTAAATGTACCAGTTAAATGTGATTTAAATTGTATATCGTTGTCAAGTTTTTCACATAAATTCACTAATTAAAAAAAATTCTTTGCACAGACATTTGCCTTGATTTTTGTGTTTCATGAGCTGGGGAGACAAATGATCTAGCTGGGAAGACCATTTTCTGTTTCTAAACTACATGAGGAATTGCCTTCAAGACATTAGACATAAGACACTAGAAGGCTAAAGTCAGCGTGTTTGAGGGCAGCCTTAAGGCATCCTCAAGGTCCTTGTTGAAGAGCTGGTAGATCCACATATAACCATTTATTTTATTTTATTTTTATGATTTATTTTTTAAAGGCAGGGTCTTGCTCTGTTGCCCAGGCTGGAGTACAGTGGTGTGATCATAGTTGACTGCAGCCTTGAGGTCCTGCGCCCAAGGTGTCCTCCTGCCTTAGCCTCTGTAGTGCCTGGGACCACAGGTGTGTGCCACCATGTCTGGCTAACTGCCATATAACCACTTCTTACCTTCCAACTTGCCAGCACACCAGCTGTCCCCGTTTCCCATCCTCAGTTCCCACGTTGAACTGAGACTTTTGTATTTCTCATGTTGTTTTATTTTCTGCATTTCCTGATGATTTGGGGTCTGGGGCCTTGCTGATCTTGAAGAGACCACCCCTCGCAGGGCCCGCTAATTCCTAGAGATGGTAACCATTTGTCTGCAAGTGTGCCTTCCACAGGGAAACCAGCCAGTCTATGACAGAGGATGACACTCCAGGCCTCCGCCCTAACCACCCTTGGGCCGGGTACCGGGAAAACTAGGGGCAGCTCCTATGCTGCCTAGCCCATGGCCAGGCCTCAGCCTGCGCATCCTGCCTGGCCTGGCCAGTCTGCAAAACCACGATAAAGGCTCTTGTGCAAGTTTCCAGCCTCACTCCCTCGGCCTCCTGCCCCGCCCCGGTGCCTCCCCAGATGGCCATGCATGGTGTGCCACACTTCCTGTTTCCAGGGGTCTGTGAGTATAACAAACAACCTCCTTCCTGACAGATTTTCATGTTTGCTTGTTTCCTTATACCTGGTTAAAACAAATCCTGGGTATAATTTACAACACCTTTTGGCCTCTGTTCAGCTCAGATCTTGGTAATGCCCAGTCAAACGCGTAATGGGGCTTGGCTTCTTGTCCCGTCATGGCTTCCTGGCCCTGACTCTTTAGCCAGAAAGTGAAGCTATCATCTAGTTAATGAAAAAAGAGGTCCCGATACAGACCCCAGGGAAGGGTTTTCAGATCGCACATAGGGAGGAATTCAAGGCAAGTCGCAGAATGCAGTGAAAGAAGCATGTTTATTAGAAATTCTCCACCGCCGAGCAGGGTGTCCTCAGAGAGCAAGTGGAGGGATGCAGCATCTTTAAGTTTTTCTCCTGGAGGGGACTTGTCTAAGTAAAGACAGACTAAGCTGTGTTTAAGTGCAGATGGGCAGACAGTATGACAATCATTCTATTGATTTACAGAAAACTACCCTTGACATTTTAGAGTGTAAGTACACCAAAGCATAACTGTAATTATCTTAAAAGCACATATTGGGGCCAGGCATAGTGGCTCACGCCTGTAATCCCAACACTTTGGGAGGCCTAGGTGGGTGGATCATGAGGTTAGGAGATCGAGACCATCCCGGCTAACATCATGAAACCCCATCTCTCTAAAAGCACAAAAAAATTAGCTGAGCGTAGTGGCACATGCCTGTAGTCTCAGCTACTTGGGAGGCTGAGGCAGGAGAATTGCTTGAACCCAGGAGGCAGAGGTTACAGTGAGCTGAGATCATGCCACTGCATTCCAGCCTGGGTGACAGAGTGAGACTCCATCTCAGAAAAAACAAACAAAACAAACAAAAACCACATGTTGCTATGGGTACTGGGCCACCTGGCCTTTGTGTCATTGTAGGGCTGTGTCCTCACAGGTGTCTTTAAGTTGTTTTGCTCACCTGTAAACATGACCATGTGACTGGCAAGGATGTGCCTGGCTAGTTTTAAGATGGAGTTGATTGTAGAATGTATCCTTCTGACTCTCCTCGGCTCCTGCTTTGCTCACATCCTGAGTGTACAGGCTCTCTTTGTTCATTCCTCTCTGTCCAACTGTCAAACCAGACACAACAAGCAGAGAGGAATGCATGCTTGAAAGATTCAACTTTATTGTACAATTTGAGTTGGCCTAGGGATTCTCTAAGGCCCCAGATAAACTGCACTCAGATGCCTGAAAACTTCCCACAACCAAATCCCTTTTCCTTGAGTACGACCCTCTTCTTCTTCTTCTTCTTCTTCTTCTTCTTTTTTTTTTTTGAGACAGGGTTTCACTCTATTGCCCAGGCTGGAGTGCAGTGGTGCAATCTCGGCTCACTGCAACCTCCACCTCTCAGACTCAAGCGATTCTCCTGCCTCAGCCTCCTCAGTAGCTAGGATTACAGGTGCACACCACCACGCCCAGCTAATTTTTGTATTTTTAGTAGAGATGGGGTTTCACCATGTTGGCCAGGCCCATCTTGAACTCCTGGCCTCAAGTGATATGCCTGCCTCAGTTTCCCAAAATGAACCTCTTCTTTTCCTCTTATAATAACAGAATAGAAATTGGATCAAAATGGCAAGCAGGACATGTACCTGTTTCTCCTCCCACCCCAAATTTTATAAAATGAAAGAAAATATATCTTTAATAAGGAAGCCCTGCAAGTTCAAAGTCGTTAGTTCCCCACCACCCAGACTAAGCATATTCAGTGGAATAATGTATATTCTGATTAGCACTAGATTTTGACAGATAAAAATGAATTTAAAGGATATCAGCAAGAAAAAAAAATAGAATCATAATGTAGAATTTCCAAATCATTAGAAAAAATACTGCAGTCCAACAGTTGGAAAGAACGAATAAGAAAATCATGGTAAAAATAAATTAGAAATAAAGATAATTAGAAATAAATCTAAGTACCCCACTACTAACAATAAATAAAATAAAATGGGTTTAAATGTTCTATTAAATGTCCCTCAGGTTGGGCTAAGGAAAAAAAAAACAAACCCTCAAATCCAAGAATACACAGTATATAGGAGATCTTCCTAAACTAAAATGTCATAGGAGAGTTGAGTGTCAACTCAACTTCCAGCCAAAAATGGGACACCCCTTCTTTACTAAATACATGTATTGAAACATCACATTTTATCTCATAAACATACACAATTGCTATTTATCAATGGAACATAAAAAAACTAAAAAATTTGACAAAAGATATTTTAAACAAAAATAAAATGAATGTAGAGCATTATTTATATCAGAAAAAAATAAAATTCAAAGTGAAAATTATCATAAGAATGCTGATTCTTAGTTATAAAAGTGACAGTTCACCAAGGAGTTATGATACAGTCATGCATTGCTTAATGAAGGGGGTTCATTCTGAGAAATGAGTTGTTAGGCGATTTTGTTATGCAAACATCATGGCATGTACTTACAAAAATCTACGCGGTATAGCCTACTTCACATCTAGGTCACATGGTATGGCTTATTGCTCCTAGGCTACAAACCTGTACAGCACGTTACTATACTGAATACTTCGGGCAATCGTAACACAATGGTATTTTTGTATTTGAACCTGTCTAAACACAAAAGCATTGTGCTGCAACATTATGATGGCTATGTCACTCAGCTGTAGAAATTTTTCTCTTCATTATATTATCCATTATAATCTCATGAGACCTGCTCTGTGTATGCAGTCTGTTATTGACCAGAATGTCTATATGTGGTGCATGACTATAGTTACAAATCTCTGTGTACCTAACAACAGCTTCAAAACAATAAGGCATAAACAATAAATAATACAAGTTCAAAGAGAAATGTACAAATCCATAATCATGGTGGGAGAGTTTAAAAATTTCCCTCTCTCAGATATTGACAAATAAACAAAATTTAAGTGATAATATGTAGTATTCAAATGAATGAACACATTTTACAAATAACTCTATGTAGAATTTTGTAGCCCCCAAAATAGACTGCATTATTATTGAAACACTTAAGCTATAAGAATAAAAACTAGATGGGAGGCCGAGGCGGGTGGATCACAAGGTCAAGAGATCGAGACCATCCTGGTCAACATGGTGAAACCCCGTCTCTATTAAAGCTACAAAAAATTAGCTGGGCATGGTGGCACGTGCCTGTAATCCCAGCTACTCAGGAGGCTGGGGCAGGAGAATTGCCTGAACCCAGGACGCGGAGGTTGCGGTGAGCCGAGATCGCGCCATTGCACTCCAGCCTGG